GTATTTGTTGGTACTGCTACCAGAAAGATTCACTCTTTAAGATTTCCCTCTCCAAACCCTCCTTCCCCAACCCACTGTTAGCACACTTTGACACACATCAAAGAGTTCTTTAAACTTTCTGCATTTCTCCATCACCCATATCAATCTATATAACACAGGAAGGAAAGTGTCGCCTTGTTTATCATCAAAGTCTTGTCCTACAAAGTAAACAGAGGCATAAACTACAACCGCCTCTATTATTGCCTATCTGTCTCCTGGTTTGCATTTTATTAATCTTACAGCCCCCTTTTCAATTCTCCTATATTTCTCTATATCATTTCACTATATCATTTATCCTAATTTTTTCATATCCTTTATCATATCAGGTCCATACACTTCTGGATCTGACATTTTCTCAAGGGGAAGCTGCTTACATGTTGAATGGAATTAAGCTCAGTTTCTAAGAAAGTAATTGTCATGGTAGGTCATTCAGATTTATCTTCCACCAAAGGGACCCCCAGATGGTTTGTGAGCATGAAAAACTCTCTTGTCAAGAAACTACACTTATTGTCTGTAGACTCCTAGGCACGAGAAAGTCATTGAGATAATGAACCATGGAACTTATCTCAGGTCTTTCATTAATGTCCCATTCCAGAAAAGAATTAAAGCACTCAAACACAGAACATGAAATTCAAAATCTTATTGAGAGAGTACTATAATAATAGAACTGTCCTTGAAATGAAAATTCCAGGAGATCAAAGTCTGATGGATTTATTAGCAGGAGACAGGAGGCAGATTTAAGATTGCATTTCTCTATGCTGGCCTCTGGATCACAGCTGTGTACCATAGTAATAGCAGCACTGGAAGGTATACAGTGCACTGTACAAAGCTCCTAGGAATACTATCATTGATTGAATGTCCTGTTTGGTAGGAGTGATTATGTATCACGTGGAACTCTCTAGATGAATTTTTTTTGGGGGGAAGGGAGGGGAACAATGCTCAGAGAGAAACTCAAAAGACTGGGAATTGGGGTGATGTGTACAAAACTTTTACCCTGTCTGCCCAGGTTTCTTTATCTAGCTTCATGTGGATTAGCTACTCCTTCCCAAAGATAAAATTCTGCTATAGTAAATAGGTCCTTGGAAAGGAACCAGTATGCTAAACTTAAAGCCATCTAACAAGAAAAGTGTGGTCTTCTTGCATAGATAGGCATATAACAGTGAGTGCAGTGTTTCTAATTTACCATAATTGATTTAAGTCCCTTTTCCCTGAGAAGGGAAAGATCCCAATACTAGCTGAAATTGAGGTTGGCCATCTCTGCTAGGTGTCCTGAATCCCCTGGCCCATTGGCAACTGAGAAAAGGGTGGTTTCCAGAGCAAACAGAACACTTGTGTTTGAAGTGACAAGAGTTTTGCACTCATGGGCTCCAAAAACTAAAGTCCCAGCAGAACTGATGGGGATGTAGCCCCTTCCCTGAAAAGGTGTATCAATCACATTCTTTCTCATCAAATGGCCCATATCTGCCCTTTCTCCAATGAAGACCCATGCAGGGGGAATGGACTGCAGCCACAACTCTGGGTTCCTCTTGTCCCATCTACGGGAAGGATAAAAAGTGGATCTTAAAGTGGAATGCCTCATCATAATGAAGCCATGCTAGGAGAAAGTATTCAGCTTGTATTTGAAAGATCATGTCCAAATATTTGGTTAAAACAATGCCTTGCTATGGGTATTTCATTTATGTGATTCCCATGTAAGTGAGGAAACTGGCCATCCAGTTGAACCATTTCATTTAGGCATTCTTACATCTGGGCTTTCCCCACCCTTCACCTCATCCTTGTCCTTTTTTTTTTTTTATCACACTCCCTATAAAACTGTGAAAAAAAATTCAACAAACTCATCCTTTCATATCTTCTCTCTACTGTATGATGCCACAGTTGGGTAAACTGTGGCATTATACAGCTATCATGTGTGGTAAGCTGCATAGAATACCCTTCAAAAGAGGCTTGGTGCATCTCATTCTCTAGAACTTCTACACAGACTGTGACTTCAATGAGATCAGATTAGAGTACGCCGGGTCTTGTCCTTAATGCTCACTCACTATGTCCCTTGGGTTTCCCCACTTTCCTCACCACTCTCAACCTCTATAAAGCATAGAGGTGACAAAAAATGAGATCAAAATCCAAAGTTTCCTTTTCAGAAGAAGGGAGAAATGGAAGCTATTTGTGTTTTGTGGGTGTCTTAGATTATTTCACTTTCCTTTTCCTTTTCTGTTACCACCACCTTTCTTTGGGGTCGTGACCATGAAACTGCACAAACTAAATTCACCTAATAAAAAATGGCCCACCTATGCATATAATCTGAATTCACCAGAACTCGGACCAACTAGGCCTGACCAGAGCTGCCTAGGCTTTGACTAGGGCCAATTGGTTCCAGACCAGAAAAACCAGGCCAAAGTTGACTCCTTGCCTCCCAGATTTCTTTAATAGCACTGAAATATGTTACTGGACTCTCTCTCTCTCTCTCTCTCTCTCTCTCTCTCTATATATATATATATATATATATATGAATACTAGTGCAGTTTGTAAATGTATTGTAAATTTCTTCTACTGACATAAACAAAGAAAAACAGTCTCAGTAGAGTTATATGGGAAGTCTGCTTTCAATTTGAGTTTTGTCTATCTGATTTTCTTGGTCTGTCCAGACAGTGGACACAATTTGTGTTCCAGAATTCCAATGTTGTGATAAAGCTGTGGATATCTCCAAGAAATATGGCCACATTTGAAAGATATAAATAGAAAAATGTACATATTTCAAATTTACACAAAATACTGTGTAAACACACCTTAGTCAATAGACTGAATATGTTTAAACAATATTTTCAGAAATGTGAACATTTAAAAAGAAAGCAAAGAAACAACACATTGCATCTTGTTAGAAAACTAACATCATTTTGGCTAAGCAGACAGGTGGCCATGGGCCGCACTGGGAAGCTACACTGTGGGACCGAGGCATCCCCATGCCTCGATCCTGCGGCACAGCTTTGCCGCCCCTGAAAGGAGCGCTAAATTAGCGCTCCTTTCATAAGTCACTGAAAGTGCGCTGCAAAAGGCTGCGGCACACTTTTGGCGACTCTTCTGCCGCAGCGTGTCTGAACACTGTGGTGGGAGATCCTCCTCAGAGCACCGGCTGTGCGGAGGGCCAGCTGCTCCGAGGACAACCTCGGGAGGGGGTTGGGGCACCAAGCGTGCAGCTGCCCCTCTCCTTCCCTGCACCCAAGATGGCCCTTTAAGCTGTCTGCTTAGGGGGTTGATTAAGCATAGAAAGATGTGCAGGTGGGAAAAATAAGTTATTCTCTCTCCTTAGTGAAAATAATTTGCTGTACCTTTTCCATATGGTTTCCTTATAATTCTGGATGTATATCAGCTCAGTGGTTTGAGTATCAAACTATGACTTTGGAGAGCAGGGTTCGAATCCCAGCTTGCATTGTAAACCTGCTTGGTGACCTTGGGCAAGTCATACTCTCTCAGCCTTAGAGGATGGTAATGGCAAACTCCCTCTGAAGAAATTTGCCAAGAAAACTCCATGATAGGTTCTCCTTAGAGCAGACCTGCACAACTTGACAGTTGGTGGGGGCCACAATTAAAATAGGCTAAACTTGTTTGGGCCACACATAAGCTTAAACTAAATATTAATTAATTAATAATATTAATTAGAATTAATAAATATTAATTCCATTCTCCTCCTCCTCTGCGTGGCCCTCTCCTCAGGAGAATGCTGAGAGGTGGAGGATCCTTGCCTGTCCTTCTCCTCTGCCCCAACTTTTCCTCAGGAGAAGGCCAAGTGACAGAGAGGCCTTGAGGGGTGCACCTTTGCCCCTCTCCCTCCTCTACCATCTGCCTTCTCAGGAGAAAGCTGGGCAGTGGAGGAGCCTTGAGGGACAAAAGTTTGCCCCTCCTCCACCACCCAGCCTTCTCCTTGGAAGAAAGCCAAGCAGTGGAGGAGTCTTGCAGGGTGAGTGTTCTTCCAGCCTTCCCCTCAGAAGAAAGCAAGGCAGCAAAAGAGCCTTCCTCTTCCTCATCTGCCTGGCTTTCTCCTTGGGAGAAAGCTGAGCAATGGAGGAGTGTTGCAAGGTGAGTGTTGGTTCCTCCTCCTCCTCCTCCTCCTCCTCCTCCTCCTCCTCCTCCTCCTCCTCCTCCTCCTCCTCTTCTGCCTAGCCTTCTCCTCAGGAGAAGGCCAGGCAGCAGAGGAGCCTTGTGGGGCAAGAGTTTGCCCTTACTCTTCCTCCTCTGCATGGCTGTCTTCTCAGAAGGAGGCCAAGCAGTGGAGGAGCCTGAAGTTGTCCTTGTGGGCCACCTTAAATCTTTGGCTGGCTGCCTGTGACCCCTGGGCCATATTTTGTGCAGGCCTGCCTTAGAGGCACCATAAGTCAGAAATTACTTGAAGGCACAGAACAACAACAATAAATAAATAAAATCACAATTTTCAGGCAAAAAGGATGACTTCCCTCTCTTCTATTCATGTACTTCTAGAAGAGTAAATATTGGCCAAGATTCTGTTTACCAGCATACCTACTCTGATGATGGCAGCAACATCAAGGTAGCAGAAGAAAAGGAGCCATGGGAGCTATGAGAACCACAGGCATGTTTGGGATTGTGATGGAAGCCATCCCTATCAGGACATAAAGTTGCTCTGCCAGCCCAAAGTGTTGTTGCAGGTGGTTTTTGCTGCTGACCTCTTGCATCTCTATACCGTACTTAAAAAGTGACTTATAGTAACACCATCATGTCACCAACAAAATTCCAACATTGCATCCCAATCCAGTTGCAATCTAATCAAGTGTCATTGTAGATTGTAGCTAAATGTCTATGAAGGGGAATTTAATTTAGCTCAAATCGAGAGAGGGTCAGCTACAAGGACCATGCGAGACAGTCTCCCACATGTATACCAAGAGTCTGGTGGATCTAAGAATTGATGCAGAGGCAGTACCCTCCAATTAAAGTATTATTTATTGAAAAATGGGAAAAATCACACAACAATGCACATACACACACACTCATGCAGGGCTTGGGAAATCAGGGGTTAGGCTGGAGTAAATGCCGAGGCAGCACTACGGTGATATTTACTATCAATGAAGCCTTCTCCAAGATCCAATTGGGTGAAGTGGTGTGAGACACAACCGTTCCGAGAGCATGGGTTGAACGGAGGTGCCAGTAACCAGATCAGAGAACTGAGTGATGCAGGGTCCCCCTGAACTCAGACTAGCGACCCTGAGAGGAGAAATCCAGGGGTTTTTAAAGGATCAAACTGGCCCCTGGCAAGGTGCTTGATTGCTCAGTTAAAGCATAAACAAAGGGGTTTGATCATATGGCTATAGTTTAGACAAAGGTGTTAGATTGCCTGAGTGAGGTAATCTGGTTTGGCAATATTCAAGGGGAAATGGGAGCAGATTAAGGTGTTTGGCCGGCCCATCAGATGAGACATCTCAGCCATTATAGCCCATCCTTCTGATTATGGAGGTGATGATAGTCCATTTGCAACTCCCACACTATCTGCCTCACTATGGAGGTTGGGGGTTTCCCAGTCTGCCAGGTGACCTGGACATGACCTCTCTGCCCTGCTATGGAGGCACATGGAGTCTACTGCAGAGTACATCTGGGGCCATGTGGAATTCATACACACAAAATTCTGAAAAATGCACTTTCGGTAACAAGATCTAGTGAATCAGTTTTAAGAAGGCATGAATCTGTACAGATATCACTGAAAAAAAAAACACTCTAAGGACAATATAATGAATAATATGCATCATGTGAGCATCTCTTAATGTTTGTACCCACACATTCTGAAACACTCACATGATCCCTTTTTGCACTTGATTCGTTGTTGTTGTTGTCATTCTGATTCTTGTTCTTGTTGTGTGTACCTTCAAGTTGTTTCCCATTTATGATGACCCTGAGGGGTTTTCTTGGCAAGATTTATTAAGAGGATGTTTGTAATTGCCCTCCCTAGAGTCTGAGAGTGGGGATTTGAATTCTGGTCTCCAGAGTCATAGTCCAATGTTCAAACCGCCCTATCACACTGACTCTTGGTACATTTTACACTTTTACTTTTACTTGTGGGAATTATCAATATTAATTTCTCTTTCTTCTTTTGTTTAGGAAAGCCTCTTCCACACCAAACCAATCCCTTAGGGAGAATTTCTAAATTTAACAGAACTTTTCCTTCTTGTTTACCTTCTCTTTTTGTACCTCTCTTTTGTCAAGCGGTCCACATATTTTAAGTTAGCAAAGAATAATTTTTATATCACAGTTTGCCACCCTTTTAAAAAAGATGATCTAGAAAGTCTAAAATGGCATCACAGAGAATGTGATAATGTCCCAACCTAACACATCCTTCACTTTTCCTATTAACTTTTCTCCACTGTCTCCATGAAAATAATTTGTTTTGTAAATCACTTCCTTAAAAATAATTTTGGGGAAAATGTGTACAAATGGTTTGTGCTAAATGCCCCCTTTCCTTTTGTGTGACATCTGTGCTTCAGTAGAACTAACCATTGAAATTCTAGATGCTGAAAAGGCTTCTTTCTGCTAGCCTTTTAGCAGTGTGTGACAACTGTGTCTCTTGCAGACACGGTAAAAGATGAGATGCTAGGAGCTATTACTGAACAAATTCTATCACCCTTCAACTGCATTCTCAGCATAAACTTCCTGCTAGAGGATTACATTTGGAGAAAAGGGTGTTGGCACCTTTCTTATGTTCTTCCTCAGGTTTCCTGTGCCATGAGATCAAGTATTATTGTCTCTCTTTCTTCCCACTGTAAGTTGCCCAGTGGAAATAGGAAGACAGAGAGAAGGCTGAGAGAATCGCATAAGTGAAAGGTGACAGGGTTAAGAATGAAAGGAATATCACTGTAAGACAGAAGCTTAAAAGTTTTGGTGAAATGAATGCAATATCAATTTGGCCAAGTGATGTGCTGCTACAGTTTCATAATGGTTCCTGCTTAAGTTAGGTTTCTACTCTAAAATGGGAATGGTTGCTCACTGATGCACATGGCTTCAATATTTAACAGCAAAATGGATCAGAGGAACAAACCTAGACTGTGAACTTAATATTGTATTACACAGCAGCATATATGTATAGCATTTGGTGGCAAATAAACCAGAAAGCTATACATTGGGAATGTATAGAATCCATTTCAGTTTCACTTCCCATGATAAAATCAGTAGTAGGGTAAAAAACAACAACAGTAGGATACTGCATACCTGTGCAGAGAGTCAGCATGGTGTAGTGGTTTGAATGTTGGATTACAACTCTGGAGATCAGGGGTGCATCTATACTGTAGAAATAATGCAGTTTGATATCACTTTCACTGTCACAACTCCATTCTAGAGAATCCTGGGATTTGTAGTTTTGCAAGGCGCCAGCACTCTGGCAGAGAATGCTAAAGACCTTGTAAAAATATAAATCCCAGGATTCAATTGGATGGAGCTAGAGCACTTAATATGGTGTCAAATTGCATTATTTCTACAGCATGGATGAATCCCAGCATTCAGTTCCACACTGAGGGGTTAAGCAGACAGGCGGCCATGGGCCGCCCTGGGAAGCTGCGCCGCGGGACCGAGGCATCCCCACACTTTGATCCTGTGGCACAGCTTCACCGCCCCTGAAAGGAGCACTAAATTAGCGCTCCTTTTACAAGTCAGCGAAAGTGCACCGCAAAAGGCTGCAGCTCACTTTCGTCGACTTTTTCTCCGCAACGTGTGGAAAGGCTGCTGCGGGAGGTCCTCCTCAGAGCGCCGGCCATGCGGAGGGGTGGCTGCTCCGAGGATGACCTCGGGAGGGGTTGGGGCGCCAAGTGTGCGGCTGCCCCTCCCCTTCCCTGCCCTCAAGATGGCCCTTTAAGCCATCTGCTTAGGGGGTGAGTGACTTTGGGCAAGTCACATACTCTCAGTCCCAGAATACTCCATAATAGGTTTGTCTTAGGGTCACCATGAATTAGAAATGACTTGAAGGCACACAACAAAAACAACAAATACCTGAGTTACAATGGCCTGTGTTTTCTATGCCCGACTTTTAAAATGAGAAAACCTGTAGTCTGCTAGTGTGTTTTAAAACTGCAGATCAAAAGCATTGCTAATTCCTTAGTAATTCTAGCTGCAGAAAATGTTAATAAATGTTCTTAGATAGTCCGCTATTTAAGACAATGCCTTCTTGGATTAGACAAAGATCCACATGTTCAAGAGTTAGTATGTAGAGGGATCATGTAACACCTTTGAGACTAAATAAAGAAAGAAGTTGGCAGCATGAGCTTTCATAGACCTAAGTCTACTTCCTCACAAGAACCCTGACCAATATATGATCTGCTGGTGGTTAGCCAGTGATCTATAGTGAACTGCAATCTACGTTGTACACACCAAGCTTGAAGACAAACTCAACAATCATATCCTTAACATGATTGCTATCAACAATGGTATGGTATATTGGGATT